CCACCATGTTACTTCCACTTTTCTAGTGGTTAGTTGGAGATAAGAGTTTCACTGGGATATTTCAGCCTGGGCTGCCTTTGAACTGCGATCCTCAGATCTCTGCCTCCTGAGTAGCTAGGATTATAGATGTAAGCCACCAGTGCCCAGCACTTTTCTTAATTTTGTAGGATATACATTGAATCCTGACTACATCCTCTCCCCTCCCCCACTTCTCTTCATTCATTATAGTTGTTTATAATGTTAAATTCTTTTTCTCCTCTAAGTCCATCACTTAAAAAAAAAGTTGGGGGAAGAAATTCCCAGAAGAAAAAATAGTAAGTATGGGATCCAGTGAAGGATAGCACATGGAAAAATGAGTAAGATAAACTAAGATATAATTGAGAATCTCTTCTATTTGCGATAAGGAGGATCGTAATGAACCACAAACACAAGACAGCACCATTGTGCACTTAGATAAAAGGCAAGTATACTTGTTGCTAGGGCTAAGTGCAGGAACAGTGTTCTGGGAAAGTCATTGCCTACTGAGTACTACAAAAAGGTAGTTATTGATGTAGTGATAGCAAATATCATGCTATGCCCTATTTATTGCACCCTTCTCACTCAGACAGGTGCACTAAATGTTTTGGAAAACCTCTAAGCATCTACTTATCAACCCCAAAGTGAAGAAGAAAACCAAAACATTTCACCTTCCTTATTAAATGTTACAGATTTATTTATAAGGCATCTAAGTGCAATTTCACCTTCATTACCTTCTAACACAAAAATTTGGAGGAATATTAGTTTTTGTAGCATAACATCTCGAGACACCTAGGGATACTCCAGGGCAAACACAGGGTGAGGCAATCCTTCCTGGTAGAGACAGGTGATAGAAGAAAGGTGCTCACTTCTTGGCAGAAAGGAAGCCAAGTGAGAGGAAGACCTGTAATAACAAAGCTCTCGTTCATGGAACTAATCCATTGATGAGGACAGTGCCCCCATGATCCACTACTCAATACTGCCGTTAAGACAAAATCTTTGGGGTACCTTTCAGATCTAAATATCATCTATCTGGTAGATGCCAAGGTAGCAGCTCAGACAAGGTACTGAGTAGGCTTTGAATTTTCACAACTGTATTTATGTTGTAATTTTATCAAGAAAACCTGTTGATGTCCAAACAAGCAGGACTCTCTAAGCATCAAAGCTGAAACATGGATGAGAATATGAAGGTGGTTGTCATGGCTACCAACACTGAATACTGCCCTTACAGACTGGGCTTCAGCAGATCATTATAAAAAGCAGGTGCAGACTTTATAGGATTCACAGAGCATAAAAATAATCTATGGGCCAGGAGCTGGGCTCCTGTAGTCCTAGCTACTCAGGAGGCAGGAAAAGTCAGGGCAAGAAAGTCTGTGAGACTCATCTCCAATTAACCATCAGAAAACTAGAAGTGGCACTGTGGCTTAAAGTGGTAGAGCACTAGCCTTGAGCGAAAGAGCTCAGGGACAATGCCCAGGCCCTGAGTTCAAGCTCCATGGCCGACAAAAATAAATAATATAATAATCTATGGGAAATATTTCAACCATCTGTAACAAAGATATGCTGTACACAGGTGGGGGTGTGGATTTATCTGTGAAGTGACCAGAACTTGAGGCCAGAAATGGGCCTCATTAGTGTTCATGGAATATTGGCTGAGGGATAATGACACTACTGATTGAACAAAAGTTTGGTGGCCAGCCTTTATTTCCTTTCAGAATGTGCTAAACCTGAACATATATAAGACTGCAATGGAAAGTTCTCAACAAATTCTTTCATAATGCCCTTATAAGTCTTCATGAATCATTTATAAATGTGCATCTCAGTTTATAGACATCCTGGATCTTGGTTTTAATTCTCCAGAGTCATCTGGTAAGCAATCAAGCAGACTGCAAAGTAGACCTGAACCAATCCTGCCCATATTGATGTTGCATGTACACCCCTTCCTGTGGCCAGCACCCAGGTTTCTTCATCATACTCCTTTCTGCCCTTTACTCCTTGCATTAAACCCAGCATCCAACAAGGTGAACAAACTCACAAGCATGTGGTTCCCATGTGAGATGTGTGTGTGTGTGTGTGTGTTTGTGTACATACGCATGCATATGCGCTTACCAGTTCTGGGGCTCAAACACAGGGCCTGGGTACAGTTCCTTAGCTGTTTTTTTGTTTTTTGTTTTTGTTCTTGATGCTAGGTGCTCTACCACATCCAGCCTTTTGGTGGTTAATTGGAGTTAACAGTCTCATGGATATTTCCTGAATGGGCTGGCTTCAAACCACCATCCTCAAACCTAAGGGTCCTGAATAGCTAGCAAGGATTACATGTGAGCTTCTGGTGCCCAACTTCCCACATGCAATTTTGAAGCCTTTGATATCTAAAAGTCAGAATCAGCAGAATGTTGTGACTTCCCTACATAGGATGCAAATACCTCAAATGATCTGTGCTGAAATAGCCAATGTGTAGATCACACAGATTTTTCTTTTCTAAAAATTCTTTTGTGCTGGTATTGGGGCTTGAATGTAGGGCTCATGTTATTGCTTGGCTTTTTGGCTAATGAGCTTCCAGATGTACATTAAACCATCACCCTTACCATCAACAAACTCTTGCAGGCTTTAACAGTCTTTTGCTAAGAATTACCTTTTAAGAATGGAAGCTTTGCATTGTTTTTATAGCTTATGATTTTTTTTAAAGACAACAAAGCCAAAATCTCCATTTTAATAGCCCAGAGTCTCAGCAATCTCTCTGTAGACTTGGGTTTGTTTTCCTATTTTCTATCTGCTCTTCAGCAGAGAAAATGTGCCCCCATAATCCTGAAGCTAACCTCTGCACAGTGGTGTTTTGTAACTGTCATCTTTATAAGCTTTTTTATTTTACTTTTGCTTTCCTGGGGATGGAATCCAAGGTTCTGCACATTCTAAACAAGGACTCTACTACTGGTCTACATCCCCACTTCTTGTTTTTTTTTTCATATTTTTTATTGTCAAAATACTGTACAGAGGGGTTACAGTTACATGAGTAGGGTAATGAGTACATTTCCTATCAAGCATTGTTACCTCGTTTTTCCCCTACCATCCCTTCCCTCCCCACTTCCCCAACTCTTCCCTCCCCCTCTCCCTACCAGTTCTTGTATTTTGATATAGGGTCTCCCTATGTAGTTCACACTGGCTTTGAATTCATGACTCCTGCCACCACCTCTGAAGTGCTAGCATCATTGACTTCTGAAAATCCTGACTACCTTTCTTAAGGTCAATTTACAAATGGGAGCGAGGATTTATCAGGAGACAGTGCCCCTGAGAAGACGATGGAAAAATGAAGCTGGGCAAGAAACTTCCACTAAGAGACAGTTTGGAGGGGATGTATGGAGAAACAAGGGGGAGTTGACCCCCTTAACTTATACTTAGAAGTAGCAGCAGAGCAAATCTACAATTCTATGTAGGCCCAAAGCCCTTAATGCTTTTGTCTTCAAGAACTACTTATAGTTTTCTGTATTTTCATTTTTTTTTTTGGTGGTCCTGGGGCGTGAACTATGGGGCTGGGCACTGTCCCTGAACTTCTTTGTGTTCAAGACTAGTGTTCTACCACTTGAGCTACAGTACCACTTCCTTCTTTCTCTGAGTAGTTTATTGGAGATAAAGAGTCTTTTGGATTTTCCTGCCTGAGCTGGCTTCAAACCTGGATCCTCAAATCTCAGCCTCCTGAGTAGCTAGGATTACAGGTGTGAGCCACTGGCACCTGGCTATTTGACCTTTTTAAAGTAAGCTCAGTGAAAGATGCCATTAATAGAAATACCAGAATTTTTACTCTATAGTAAGCTATGATGTGGTTAGGTTAGGTGTATTAAGTGCATTTCAACTTACATTCTGAACTTATGATGACTTTCTCAGTAAATAACCATAGCAAGTTGAGGTTTATCTATAGTAAAATGTGGAGAGAAAAATGAATTCAAGCTTGAATTATTAAGCAAAAAGGAATCAGTATCTAATGATTTTGGTATGCCAGGTTTTGTAATTGATTCATGCCTATTAATTCTGGGTGGGTGGATCAAGAGTATTGAGGGCAGCCTAGGCTATATAATAAGTTCCAACTAGTCTGGGTGAAGTAGTCTGGGGCCGGGGAGGAGGGGAGAGAGGGGGGGAGGCGGGGAGACTCCTCTCCCCAAAGAAAATATGATTTAGAAAATTCTCAGTCTATCTATATTATAAAAATGGAGAAACAAATGCAGAGAAAATAGCAAGGGTTTGTCTAGCAGAGGGCATCTGATACAAGGACTGGTGTGGGTATGAACCATGGTCCTAGCTCAATCATCCAACAGAAGCGGGGAACAGAGATGGGATTAACACCAGAAGAAAGTGTGACCTAGCATGAGAGACAGAAAATGAGATGGACAGGCAGATTGTACACATACTCACTATGCCAAGCAGGACCCTAAAGATAGCCCGGAGATCATCAGAGCTGCTCCTCTTGCAGGCTTAGAGGGCCCCTGCGAAGGGGCCAGGCTGACTCCTGTTTCAGAGAGCAGGTCCTGAAAACCAATGAGCAGCCTCTAGGGCAGATAAAGAACCAAGCCAAAGGGACAGGGCCCCCAATGGGTCTGCTGCTTCAGTGAGATTAGAACACCAAACCCAAAGAATGGACTGCCTGGAAAGACAAGGCCAGGTTTGTGGCAGAAAAGCTCTGTTGGGGCAGCAGTATGGGGAGAAAATCAAGGAAGTTGAAACAGTGTGATAGTGACTAGGAGACAGAATATTGCTTCCTTTAAGGCCAAGAGGAAGGTGATTCTGAAAGTATCAAAAGGGACTTCTAGCTCCTTGGTGGAAGGGTGAGGTGTGGGGTTGAAGGCCACAGTGGGTGGAGGTGGCTAGTCCCAGGGATATTGTGCCATGTCCAAGAGCTATTTTGATAACAGTATCTCTGCTTTTTGGCAATAATGTTAGAAAAATCACCTAAATGCCAGTGGGGAGGGGAAACAATACTAATCACATAGGCAATCTTTTGTTTCTGAGAGAAAATGCCATTTTAATTAGGGCTAACCTTAAGGCCTTAAATTCATATACAATATGCACTGTTACTTTTCAAAGAGGAAAGAGACAATCAGCTCATTAGGTATGAAATGATTTTTAAAAAGGTTTTGCTAAAACTCTGTGTAGAAAAATAACTCAGTGTTACACCCTTGGTTTGTCAGTTGAGAATGGAGAGGTGAGCCTCTCTTCTGTCCATGATTGTGTTCTTGTCCAGTCCTCAGGAGTCACACAAGGCCCCCGAGCATTTCCCCTGGGACTGTAACACAGGTCACATTTGGCACATATTGTAAATTTCTTTTGACTTTCATATTCATAAGTTCAGGAAGCCTTTTTGGGAATAGGAAGGTTGAGGCTACCTTAAAAAAAAAAAAAGCTGGCTCATTCATAGCAGTGCTAGGTTGGTTAACAATGGAGATGTGAGATCAAGGGACTCACTCAGGGAAACTGACTGTCAGCTAGAGGGCATCTGAAATGGTCACTGTGGCTTGATTCTCACTGGGGCCTGGAAGACTTGTTCTTGGAGGCTGCCTCGGCCTAGGATTTTATTGCTGGTGAACTTGGTTATCCAACTTCTAGCCATTCAGTCCAGAATGGTGGAGTATCAGAAATGGGTCTGCTGAGATGAAAGTGAAAATGTATAAGCAGCACTGAGTTCTGTATACTGGCATATTGCCCGATAGTCTGTGTGCAGTTTTCTCCTAGTTGGTCCATTTGTCTGGTCTCTTTTCTGAGGATAGTGCAGGCTGTTGAGGGAGTAGGTGGAGAACCATCCAGATTGGATGGTCAAAGACAGGACAGATGGGTCAAAATGGAGGTACTCAATCCACTCCCTGCCCTGCCAGTACTTCTGCTACCATGTTACATTAAAGGTGTTCTCCTGGGGTAGAATTTACACTCCCCTTACTTTCTAAAATTCCATGTCCTATGCTACATGATATAGGCATGTGGTGGGAAGATTCTGAAACATAGGCTAGCATTGCCCAGGCATGGGTTCTGGAATGATGAACCTCTGGAACCATTCTGCGGTCATCAGCAAACACCACGAGAACTCAATGGTCACAGAAGTCTGATTTGCCTGCATGGTTAAAGTAGAGACAAAAGGCAAGGAGTCCTTTTTGTGACTCAGATGGATCCTGCATGGGCCTTGGTGACTTTGGCAGTCCCTTAACTTTTCTAACCCTCTTCAAGGTGTCATTCCCGCCATCACGTGGCAGACAGGAGAGCTTTAGTGCCAATGCCAGTAACAGCAGAGGGAAGCAGCACTAAGGCTGTGCTATGCTTCTCAAATCCAGTTGACCATGACTGTATCTGTCTTCCCTCCCTTCCACGGAGGAAAAGGCACCTTACATCCAAGCTAAGCAATCTGGATCTAGCTAGTACCTTCTGCTCACTGGACCCCGGGAGACCTTAGAGGGGCTTAAGGAGGGGTGTGACAGAGGGAGTGTCATTTCTGTACTCAGATCTCCACCTGGTTAGCCCCTGGATTAACAAACTAGATTCATAGGTCCTATGCATTAATTTAGCAAAAAATCTGGTTTCTGATACCCAAACAGCTTAAAGTCCCCTTCAAAACGTGCATATAAGCGTCGAATGTCTCGTTTGCTGATGCCCAGGAAGTAGTGTTCCACCTTGGTTTTGTTATACACGGTAATGCCTGGAGGGATGGTTGGATAGGACACCAGGTGGTCTATGCCGGCCTCCCTCAGGATATATGGGGCATCCTCCTCCAAAGTCTCATGATGTCCAATCACACTGTACTTTATCTCACAGGGTGCGCAAAGCTCTACATACGTCACCCAGTGGATGATGTGGTCCCCAAACTGAAGGTCTAGCCGTCTGTGGTTTGGATCACCGAGGTAGCGCACAAAATCTTCAAATTGGATCCCCCGGGTTTCTGTTCGGTTCTTCCTGTATTTCCTGATGATGCCAGGAGCAATATCATGCCTGTACCATGGCTCAAACCGGGGATTGTGAACAAACTTGTCCTTAAATGCAGAAATCAGTCTTTCAAAAGGATCTCTTACTATAAGAAACTTGAAGTATGTTTTCAACCTGGAGGGGAGGGGGAAGATAAAGCAAAGAGAAGTAAACTTGGAGGAGGATCCTCTGAAAGTATGAGAGAGAAAAGAGTACTGTAGTAGGACCCTGCCATGGTGAATCCCACACAGCCTTCCTTAATCCCCTTTAAGATTCTGTGCCCTGACTCTGTTAGCAACATTTTCATGGGTGAGGAAATAGAGGCTGGGAGAAATCAACTGTAAAGGATACAGGCATCTTAGGGGATTACTGTGAAGACTATTTAATCAAAGTTTTGCTTTATTTGAATTAATTCAAGATTTCAAGAACTTTGAGAAATTTTATTCTGGGTAAGAAAACCATTGACATCAAGATGAACTGACACTAGAGAAAACTACTTTAAGGGTATAACGTTAAAATTCCAATTGAGAATTGCCAGGAAGAGGCTTTTTTGCTCAAGACTGGTGTTCTACCAGTTGAGCCATACTTCCACTTCTGGCTTTTTGCTAACTAGGGATGAATACCTCACAGACTTTTCTGCCCGGGCTGGCTTAGAATCTTGATCCTCAGTTCTCAGCTTCCAGAATAGCTAGGATATCTGCCAGTCCTGACTCACAGTCTCATGACAGCTCTGGGCAGGGGGAAGCAGGCTTCCCAGCAGGAGGCTTCCTAGCAGTGGTTTGTACAGCTGGGAAGACTGAAAGTAGGAGAAGGCAAGGCCCAGCTGGTGACCTGCTTGAGGTGCTACACACACTCATTCCTTTACACCAGGTGCTATGGGACCACTTTCCCATTCATTGCTATAATCAGGGAGGGTTGTACCTGCCTGCCTATGCCACACCTGGAGAAGTAGGCACATGCCTTGGGGGAAAAAGTCAGACACTTAGTGGAGTTCCTCACAATCCACACTCCTTTCTTATGAAGAAATACCTTATTCAGTAAGAAATCCATAAAACTTAATAAAACTAAAGCACAAGGAAGTGACCATTCATTTCTATTAATAAGATTACATTAAGCCAGGGGCTCACACCTGGAACTCTAGCTACTTAGGAGGCTGAGATCTGAGGACCAAGGTTTGAAGCTAACCTGGGCAGAAAAGTCCATGAGACTCCTATCTCCAAATAACCACTCACAAAGTGGAAGTGGAGGTATGACTGAAGTGGTAGAACTCCAGCCTTGAGTGAAAAGGCTAAAGGACAGTTCCCAGGCCCTAAGTTCAATCCTCAGGGCTGGACAGAGAGAAGGAAAAATTTAGTGGATTGCAGGACAGTAAGGCTAAAGTCTTCAAATTCTCATGAGGGCTGGAGAGCTTCAAAGCACTGAATACTAAGCACACACTGGGCTCCTTTGTCAACACAAACCAGCAGCCCCCAGTGGTCCTCAGAGCAATTTAGAATATGCAACAAGTACAAACTGAGCCTGGGGTTTGGCCAAACTTTCTTCAGAGGTTTTTAAAAAAATCATGTCTCCCTTTTGAGAAACCTGCTCTTACCGCTTCTGAATTCCTGCTTTGCTGTAGGAAGACAGACGAGGAAGGCCATTCTTCTCATGGTCATGAACCACATTTTCGGGGATCTCTTCAATGGAAGGAAATGCTCCTTGGAAGGAAAGAAGAAGTGTGTTGGCTGCTTCCAAGGGACCCTTACATCATCTGACTTTTCTTGGGTGCCAAGTTTCCCATGACACATATGACACCTCTGATATTCAAGTGTATATGTTTAAATTACAGAGTGACAAAGTTGGGTAAAATCTTCCCAAGGGGTGCAGGGAAGAGTGGTGAAAATCTTGACAGTGCATACCCCTGGCAATAAGTATGTTGGACTAAGTCTTCCTTTAAAGAACTCAGGGCCTTACAAAACTGCAATTTTTCTGTACAACACCTTTGTAATAACAGTAAAAAATAAAAATTAGCCAGGCACAGGTGGCTCACATCTGTAATCCTAGCTACTCAGGAGTCTGAGATCTGAGGATCATAATTCAAAGCCAGTCCAGGCAGGAAAGTCCATGAGACTCTTATCTCCAATAAAACACCAGAAACCCAGAAGTGATGCTGTGGCTCAAAGTGGTAGAGTGCTAGCCTTAAGCAGAAAAGCTCCGGGACAGCACTTATACCCTGAGTTCAAGCCCCATGACTGACAATAAGTAAAAAATAAAAGTTGAAAAAAAAAGGAATTCAGGATAAGCAACTGAATGACATCTCCAAGGGCCTCATCTTCACTGCCAGGCTGTGCTCATGTGGTACCACACTCTATACCTCCAGTGGTTCCCTGACAGCTGACAGAAGCCCACACTGCAAAGACACTAGATACAGCAGGTGCTGGTGGCTCATGCCTGTAATTCTAGCTACTCAGGAGGCTGAGATCTGAGGATCATGGTTCAAAGCCAGCCTGGGCAGAAAAGTTCATGAAACTCTTATCTCCAATTAACCACCAGAAAATCCGAAGTGGTGCTGTGGCTCAAGTGGTAGAGTGCTTGCCTTGAGCTGAAGAGTTCAGCGACAGTGCTCAGGCCCAGAGTTCAAACCCCAGCACTGATTTTTAAAAAAAGACACTAGATACTAGAAAAACCTAGCGGAAGTTATGGGAGCTGTGATCCATTAGAAGCAGGAGTTGACCTTTGAACAACCTACAGTTAACAAAATGAGTATCAAGAAGCTGAAAGATATGTTGTTGGGTAGAAAGGGATAGGGAACCATGGATAGGTCACATTGGTCAAGATGCATTGTACTCATAAACTGACATGTTGACTTGAAACTCCCTTGTACAACTACCTGAAGGTTAGAATTCTTTTTGGTTGGTCGTGGGGCTTGAACTCTGGGCTGGGCTCTGTCCCTGAGTTTTTCAGTTCAAGACTAGGCCTCTACCACTTGAGCCACAGCAGTACTTCCGGTTTTCTGGTGGTTAATTGGAGGTAAGAGTCTCACGGACTTTCCTGCCTAGCTGGCTTTGAACTGTGAGCCTCAGGTCTCAGCCTCCTGAGTAGCTAGAATTACAGGTGTGAGCCACCAGTGCCCAGCTGAAAAAAAAATTTTTAAAGAAAGCAAAAGGAGTTGAAGAACAGGGCAGGATATTGTCAACAGTGGGACTAGGTGCTTTAGAGAGCCTAGAAGAGAGGGTATGCTTCTTAGAGCTGGTGACGGGCAAATTCTCTTTTCCTAACATAGACAAATGGAAGTAACTGGTCATGAGTCTGAGAAGGGCTCAGCCTCACTTCTGGCAAAACTTCCTATCCACCTTTGTGCTAATGCTGCCCTATAAACTTTGAGTTGTGGCAGGGAAGCCTCTCTAATGGGCCATCTAAGGCAGTGGCTATAGCCCTGACTCTTCACATTCCCTCTTCCCCCAAATATTTAAAGTCAGTCCAGAACTCAGTGCTGCATACTGTGCTATGGCTGCAAAATGGCTAACACAAGCCTTGGCTTCAAGAGGACCACAGAACAGAACAGAATCAGCTCTGTGGACCTGCATTTGGGCCTGTCCATGTACCTGTCCAAGTGCACCCAGGGATGGCAGGATGGCTACTGGGACTGCCCATTTGATTATAACATTTGGTAAATCCATTTCTGGATTTTTGCTTTACTTTCCATTTTGTAAGAAATGCAAATGAAATGATTATATAAATTCATGCTGTTTTACAAATAAACAAGTTGAGATTGTTGAGTTTAATCTACTAGATGTAACAATGATTTGGAGAATAACAAATGCTCTCTCAAAAATCAAGTCTAGTGGGGGCCAGTGGTTCACATCTGTAATCCTAGCTACAAAGGAGGCTGACATTTGAGGATCACAGTTTGAAGCCAGCTCAGGCAGAAAAGTCTGTGAGACTCGAACCACAAAAAAAGCCAGAAGTGGAGTTGTGGCTCAAGTGGTAGAGCACTAGCCACAGCACCCAGGCTGAGTTCAAGTTCCAAAACAGGCACACACACACACACACACACACACTCTCTCTCTCTCTCTCTCTCTCTCTCTCTCTCTCTCTCTCTCTAATTATATTCTCAGTAAACTTTGGGACTATGGCAGGTGCTGAAGCCAACGGTGGTTTTTTTTCTTTCTCTTAATTTTAAATTTAATTTGTAACTGATATGTGAACTAAAAAAACTCACACCTATTAATGGGGTTAAGAAGAGGTATTTTTGATACTGGCATACACAGCAGCCTATTCCTATTTTTCTTGTCCTTGGGAGAATATGCTTTAAATTATAATGCTTCATGTTGCCTTGGTTGATCTCTGGGCTTCTCTTTCAGCATCAACTGTCCAACATACTGCTATGGTATTCCAGAAGCACATAATTATCTTTGATAAGTTTAGATGAATTGGAATTTAAACAAGCCTAGTGTTTGAAAAGCACAGCAAGAAATCAAAAATTACAGTAAATAAATGTAACGCCACATAGGCCCACAGCAAGATCTCTATCACTTTCCTGTGATCTCATTTGTTCCCCAGTAAACATCAGATTTCCCGGAACAACAGATGCTTAGCAGAACCCAACTGGCATGGACTACGTGGTTGGCAAGTGAAGAGGTCTGAGACCCATGAGGTGGGGCTGTCCTCTTAGGCTCTGAAGTGTGAGCACCTCTCCCTACAGAGAGGCACCATGAGGACAGACTTGTGCTGTTTCCAGGAGTCAGGAGCCTTGATGCACTTGAACAATGCATGGGCCTATTGGGACCAAAATGAATCAGATAAAGGTTCAACAAGGGCGAACAAGCTTCTTGCACTGTGAAAACCTAGGACATCCTAACTTTGTCTAAATGCCTTTGACAATTAACCCCACCAAGGGCTGACGGTATAGCTCAGTGGTAGACATCCTGCTTCACATATGCAAGGTCTTAGGTTCAGGACCAAAAAAAAAATAAAATAAGAATTATCCCTACCCCAGCTTTTACAGAAGATTAATAGGAAAGCAATAGAGAATCTTCTAAGAAGTTGCCTCTCTTTTCAGGAGAAATTACCCCCTCCCTTGCCCAGGCAAACCCTCCACGTCACAGACGGATATTCACTAAGTGCCACACACCATTTAGGACAATCAGCACTTTCTTCCACTGGGTGTTGCCAACTTTGGGAGTCTGGCAGAAAAGAATCTTGTGCTTGTCACAGACAAATATCCTATCCAGGACAAACTTGGACACTGCAGTATGTGAGAGATTCTTCAGGGCCTCATCCCTACACACATTTCTCATGAGCTCCAGACGCTCCAGATACACCAGAGGTTGATCAAGTTGGCTCTCTGGCAGCATCTTCCCAGTCGTCTGCAAACAACAAGAACAAAACAGGCAGTAAAGAAATAGGACAGAAACCAGTAATATGACAGATCTCCTCCCCTTTCTACAGTGACAACCACCACTTTCAGCCTCCTTTCCAGACCTTTCTCAGGGTACATCCATCGCCCTGAGTTACAGAGATGGACTAGCACTAGTGGCCAGGAAAAATGGGTGTCCATATGGCTACTGTGACTTCCTTCTTGGGAGAATATTGATTTGAAATCCAATGAAGACGAGAATATTCAAGTTCCAAATGGTGGCCTACAACCTCTGTGGCTGTTCCAGAACCACAGAGAATAGCCACAACTTAGGAGGTTTTTGGCTGAAGCTCAATTACAGCTTCCAGTGCTCTCTGGGTGGCAGGACCATTTGCTCCACAGCTCCTGCTGAGTCTGAGGCCAGACCCAGGGTATTGTAGACACCTGGGAAAGCCTTGGCTGTACACATATACACATGTGTATACACACAGAAATTGTTACATGAGCTTGTGCCCGTGAGTTAAAATGTCTCACTGTTCATGCTATGATAGCGTGTCTGCCAAGTCTTCCAAGAAGTATGTATGCTAAAATCACACGGCTAGTCCTCCATCCTGAGCTGTGGCTGTTGGTCAGCACTGTGAAATGCTTCTGCAGCAACCTCTACTTTGTATTTTTAAAACACCCATACTTAAAACACATGATCCCTCTACACTCACCTAAATGCACAGGTTTGTCAGACAATCCTTTCACAGGGTAGTTTGTAACAGCCCACCCTTCCTGGACAAAGGCCTTTGTAGAACACACTATTGCATGCACTCACCACTGTCTCTCCTTCCTTCCTGAATCTGTCAAGGCTAAACTCCTACCCCCCAGCACACACATAGACACACACATTGAGAATGTTTGTCCAGGTCACTTTTTCATCTGTGTGAGGTTAGCTTCATTTTCTGAATAACCAGAAGAGGAAACATTGTCCTGGGGCTTCCTAATAGCCTATTCCTGAAATGAAGGGGTGAGCAGGTCTTCCACAGAGCTGCCTCTGCTCCTTACCATGTGAGCACCAGCATCACCTGCCAGCTGCATTCACCACAGCACCCTGGAACGTTACACCCATCACCTCCCCTTTTTATAGCAAACGGGGGATTCATTTTACTCTGCCAAGGAATTCCCTCATCCTTTCTACCTCTTGCTCACCTAACATGAGAGCATTTCCCTTCTCACTCTGTTTAAAAATTTTAAAACCTAACCCAGATCATGGATGGCTCTTAGAGGCAGTGCACCATGGAATGGCACTTTCAGAGAAGTTCTTTAGAAATCACAGAAAGACTCCATCATTTGCAAATCATGCTTTTCTTCAAGCTCAAGCACAAAAGGTAAAGAATTAATTTCTTACTCAATTGTGTTCCCCCCTCTTGGAAAATATACAAATGAGGTTTAAAGATTGACAGTATTTTCTACTATTTTCTCACCAAACATTCAGACTCATAATACTTTTAAAAGAGAACTTACAGAACCCTCTTCCATTAACAAATCACCTTTCTCATGGGGAAATACACTAGATTTCACTGTCATGATTCTTGACTCCAGAGAATATTGCATGTGACAGTGGCTCCTCCGGTCTTTCACCTGGCAGCTTGTTGTATGATAATCATTAGACAGCCAGGAGGACAAAGAACATGATGTCTCCTACAGGACCACAGTTTTTACAGGGAGAACATCTGGTATCTGACTGACCACCACAGGCTGCAGTATACTAGTAGGCCCTTGTCTAAAAAGCATTCTGCAGAGAGTTGATGGCACCTTTGTGCTGTTACCCATGCAACTATACATTTACTCATACTAAATTCATTAAAGCCCTTCTCTTCTTTTCTGTAGGATTTTAGTTTCTTGCTTTTTCAATCTATCCAAATTCTTTTCTCAACCTACAAGCAGCATTCTTGGTCATCTTAAGAGTCCTGTAGACTTGATCTCTATCACATTAAAGTCTTGTCAAAAGGACTTCCAAAAACTTTCTACTCTAACCAGGGATGCTTTCTATACTGTAAACCACACACAAAAACTTCCCCTTTCCCTGGTTTAATTCTGGAATGACAAACATCTTTAGGGCTTGCTTGGCCCATTTTGCCCCTTCTAGACAATGGTAAGTACCAGCTTCCAGATTCAGTATGAGTAGGAGAGGGATCTTCATGTGTAACCCTTGTCCTGGACAGGCGATGATGAGGAATTTATGTGCAAAAGGAATCTGTAGAGGTCAATGTGGAGTCAGTGTGCAAGTGGGCAAGAGTTGGGGCTGCCTTGGGCTCTGCCCATCCAACTCTCTGGATTCAGTTCTGTCGTGTATACAGTTCAGAGGTTGAATCATCTGCTCTGCTGGCCAAAGCCCTTTCTCACTCCAAAATTCCATTCTGGGTCAGAGATCATTACATATTCCAGGTTTTCTCCTGATACTATTCAACACGTTCTGCTGTCTTCACCAGGCTCGTGTATAGCTGGTCAGGAATTCAGTACAACCAACTACCCAAACTAAAATAACTATGATCTCTGTCCCTACCACACGGAGGATAAAGAAATACAGAAATACATAGAAGTAGCAAAAGCTACTCCAGGTAGAATATCCTTTATCCAAAATGCTTGGGATCTTAAACTCTTTTGGACTTTGGGATACTTGTATCTCCATAATGCGCTATGGGGGGTGGGGGGGGGAGGGGGAGAGACTCAAGTCTAAACGAGAAATAGATCACAGTGTAAGGTAATTTTACACTTTTTTTGTGTATGTGTGTGTGTGGTCCTAAAGCTTGAACTCAGAGCCTACGTGTGGTCCTTGAGCTTTTTTGCTCAACGTTAGTGCTCTACCACTTGAGCCAGAGCTCCACTTCCAGATTTTTGGTAGTTAATTAGAGATAATGGTCTTAGGCACTTTCTGGGCAGGGTGGGCTTCAGACCAAGAGCCTTAGATCTCAGCTTTCTGAGTAGACAGGATTAGAAGCATGAGCCACCAGTGCCCAGCGATACAATATTTTAAGTAATTTTCAGCACAAAAATGAAACTTCCATGGTATGGAATTTTCTGCTGTGGCATTATGTCGCTGACCAAAAAAAATTTCAAATTCTACAACATTTTAGATTTCAGATTTTCAAATTAAGGAGTCTCAACCTGGTTTCTAAAGCAGGCTGCAATGGTGAGTGAAAACCACTGCTGGTGAGGGTGGGTGGAAGAAATTATCCCCACAGGTCAGGGAACACTGTGCAGTGCTCCCTGTGAAGTGTTACATCCATGTCAGAGGGAACAGGTGTGTGCCCACCTGTAGCTCCTCAGGAAAGTGCTTCTCTTCTGGCAACTTCCCTGCTTCTGGTAAAGTTGTTAGGAACAAAAACTCCTGTTTGGCACTGTACCCTAAAAGACAAGAGGTTAAGACGTCATCTAATGCAGAAAAAGGCTCCAGATCGATGGGACAGAATGGGAACCCAGGAAGAACCCACACAAAAGATGCATGGCTGACTTTTCACAGAAATGCAAAGGAAACTCAGCCAGAGGACAGTCTTTTGAACAAATGAGAGCTGCGACAATAGATAAACATTTATCTAAAGTTCACCTTATTAAAAAATGAACTCAGAGCTGGGCTCTGGTGGCTCACACTGATAACCCTAGCTACTCAGGAGGCTGAGATCTGAGTATCGAGAATTAAAGCCAATTTGGCAGACAAATCCATGAGACACTTATCTCCAATTAATCAGCAAAAAGCAAAAAGCTGGGCAAGATCCCAAGGCCATGAGTTCAAGTCCCATACCAACTGATGGTAGTACCAAGTTCGACAAATCTCCAGGAAATTGTGTTGAGCAATGCAAGCCAAAAAAGTCAGGAACTGCTCACCTTAAAATGACAAAATTCATTACAGGAGAACAGATTAGTAGTTGTCAGAGTCTGGGAATGGGGTAGTGGTTAAAAAGGAAAACACAGTCAGACACAGTAGTACCCGAAACACCAGCACTTTGGAGGCAGAGCAAAGGAGGATGGAGCCACCTTATACTAGATACTGACATCATGCCTCAAACAAAACCAACAGTTAAAAAAAAAGGCTGAATCATGGCTCCTGGTAATGATGAAAACGTTCCACAGCTTGCCTGCATCCAAGCCAGCACCCCACTTGTGGTACTGCACTGTAGTATAAGAGGCTACACTTATGGAAACCGGGGAAATAAAATAACTCAGGATTCCTCTGTGGTGTTTCTTCCAATTGCATGTCACTCTACAACTGTCACAAAAATATCAACAGTCAAGTTGGTGCTTTCCCATCAATTTAAGAAAACATAGCTGCTGTGTGCCCTGGCTCTGGTGTCAGGTCAAATCACCACAAACATGGCAGACATGAAGAAAACATGGCATCCACTGGCTAGGATTCTAGACTAGAGCTCTTTCTTTTCCAGAGAAGAGAGCTGGAAGAAGCTGCCTCAGGACATGTTAAAATCCTAAATGTTAAAGTCCTAAAATACATCCTCCTCCTTTATGGCTTTACCTTCAGCCCCTCTTCAACTTGTGCTCTCTTCACAAAATCACCCTGAGTACCTGCGCCTCTCAGAACATGCAACGTAAAACATGCACATCCCAGCATATTAACACTATCCATCAAGCCCCAGTAGGAAAGAGGTGTTCTTTAAAAACTCTTCTGCTACAGAATATTAAAATGCAAGGGTGTGGGTTTTATTTAACTGATTATCTGTTGTTGTTGTCCTTTGAGTTGAGGTCTATATCAGCTAGGCTGTCCTTGAACTTGAGGGCTCGTGATCTTCCAGCCTTCACCTCCCAAGTAGCTGGGACTACAGATTATTTAACTATTACTGATGGAAGCTCCACTAAAATACACAGTAAGATTCCCACTTTTTAAACAAAGTCAACCACAATTTAACCTTATGTCCTGCTCTTTAGCACCTTCCGTACCAAGAGGCAACATATGGAGGAATCAGAATTAATTTGTTTCTCTTCAGTTGCTCAGCCATTCTACATTTCTGGTTCTCAACTGGACCCCACTCCAGAAGAGTCAAGTATGATTGGTCTCAAGCAGCAGAAGACTTGCGCAGGGACAGTTGTGCAGGAAATGCTGTAGTGCCCTCTGGTGAGAATCCCTCAGTCCTCCCAGGAGTTGTCACTGTCGATGGCCTGTGACCATCCCATATCTGTGTGTCTCACTGCTGCAACCCTTCTCCCCCAGCTGCCACACATCATCTCAAATACAACCACCCTCCAAGACTGACCCTGGCCCTTTGGACAGAGCCTCCTCAGTCCTTGGTGTAAACCTAATATAGTGGGTGTATTACCACTTCCGAAGACTGTACAAACCTCACTGGCTTCGTCCCAAAAGCTCCTGGAAGATGAGAGGGATATGTGTGTGTGCATGCACGTGCACGTGCGCACATGCTGCTCCTGGGGTGGAACTTGGTGCCTGGGTACTGTCCCTGAGCATTTGTGCTCAAGGCTATCTCTCTATTACTTTGAGCCAAAGCTCCCTTTGTTTTTTTGAGGGGGAGGTTAGTTAACTGGAGATTAGAACCCCCTGCCCAAGCTGGCTTTGAATCACTGATCCTCAGATCTTACCTTCCTGAGATTTCAGCCTCCTGAGTAGCTAGGATTACAGGTGTGAACTACAGTGCCCCAGCTAAGGGGGTTCTTTTGATGGTCACCAGGAGGGTACAACAAAGCTATAAGCCTGATAACTATCTCTGAGAGCTGAGAAAGTCACCTGGGGTCAATTTCAGGGTTTCTCTCTTCTCTCTGCAGATCTGCCTTCCACCCTCATTCCTCTACAGGCAGTTGGAGCAGAGAGGATGGAGAGAAGGTGTGGGCACTGGGTAGCCCTTGGAACAGGCAGGGATGTGTCAGTAGCTCTACAGTACGTATCAGGAGCCTGAGCCCTTGTATCTCACTGAAAACACAGGTTGGTGCAGCCACCAGGGATAAACTGGGAATAGTGCTGGTGTGGATGCATTGTCATGCACTGCAACAGCAAGAGGCCATATAAAGCACCAGGCATAGAAAAGATACGGTGCTCACCTGTGTCTCAGTTCCCAAGAGCTCCCTCTCTGGCAGGGGTGGAGGGGATGAGGCCAATTTGCAGCCAGTAATGATTGGCCCTGCAACTCCCATGTGTCTTTTGTACTTCCCCAGGATTATCTACTTGGCCCCAGAAGGAAGTGGCAGAAGGAGTTAAGAACACTCTCACACAGATCACTGCCCCTCCAGCAGGCTCTCAGGGCAAAGAGAAGAGTGTCCATTTCGTAGAAGAAACATGGAGGCGCACAAAAGCAAATGTCTAAGATGGGTTCTGGTGCTCTTTATACGTCCTCATCTGAATGCCTATGTTCAGTAAAGAGGAGTTAAGAATCTCCCAGGATAGCCTGACAATATATATTTAAATGAACCTCCTCTCGCTGCACTGAAGGTGACCTTCAAATGTGTATCACCAGTGCAGAACTCCTGCTGGCACACAGGCATGCTGAGCAGTTATGGCTTTCATGATGACATGAGGCAGAGTGGATTTCCAAACTGAAGCCTGCAACATAACTTGCTGTATGAAGCCTGTGCTGGTGCTACTGGGAGAAGCCCTGCTCTCTGCTTCTCAGTCAATAAGCCACAAAGTGCCTTTGCCCTTTAGAGGAGATCCCTTCCCACCTCTCTCTTCCATCTCTGTGCCCTGAATGCATGGAAGCCAAGCATCTTTCAGTCCTGGGATAGCTGTCACTGTGTATCTACCTGGGGAACAGCGTTGGAGCCAGGACTCAATAAGCAAAATCTGTTCCTCCCAAGCATACTTACCATCTGGGTCTTTAAAGGTCAAGGTGATAAACTTGCTGGCCACCATGAACATGAAAATCACCCAAAAGCATGCGGCCAACAGAAGCCACTGGTGGTGCATGTTGTCAAATATAAGCCATTCAACGAGGCTTCCTGGAAAACACAAGTGAAAGGCCTGTGCCACTTGTAGGTCAACCAATTGAACAAGAAGCATGAATAGAAAGAGGTGAAGTCAATAAATAGAACCAATACAAATACATTTTTTCCACTTTAATGAGTATTTTGACTTGGCATTTAACATTTCATATTTAATTAATAATATGAAAGGATATACTTAATCACTAAATCAATTTGAAACACCCCAGTGGAGGGGAATGACAATAAGAGAACAGCATCCTTGTTTCTGTTTGGAAGCTAGAGTAAGATTTTGCCATTGTCACAATGATCAGGAAGCAGGGAGTCAGTTGGAGGCTTGTCAGGGAACTAGACTTACGCTGGGGAAATATGCAGAGGGCAGAGCTGTGCTGAGGGAATTACAGCAGGCTGGGCTTAGAATGCAAACTGGCTAATAAGGAAGAGCTACACCTAGAGAATCTCACACATGTGGAATTTAGTCCTTAAAAATATGACAAAGCCAGGCACCACTGGCTCATACCTACAATCCTAGTGACTTAGGAGGCTGAGATCTGAGGATCTGTTTGAAGCCAACCTAGGCAGAAAAGTCTGCAAGACTCTTACCTCTGATTAACTACCAAAAAAGCCAGAAATGGAGCTTTGACTCAAGTGGTAGAATACTAGCCTTGGGCAAATAGCTCAGGGACAGCACCCAGACATTGTCATTATATTTATACATATATGTATATATAATATGTATATATACAACACATATATGCAATATGTGTATATATACTATATATATATTATATACATATATGTATGTGTATAGTGACAGGAATGTAAAACATGCTATTTGAGGGTGGATACAAGCAGAAGAGAAGGGCAGGAAGACAGGATGAAGGGTGATGACTAGAGTCTAAGTACTTTATAAATATTTATGAAAATAGAACCGTATTTAAATTTATCTTTAAGATGGGGGAGGGGAACAACAGAGGGAGTGAATTTGATCAAAGTACATCTATGTGTATATGAAAACATCATAATCAAAACCCTCTGTACAATTAATACATGCTAACAAAAAAATGAAAAATTAACAAAATTTTTTTTTAAAAGAGCAAACAAACACCTGTGCTTCTTGCCTCAGTTACTTGCTGGACAGGGCCTGCGCAGAACCTTGTGGACAGGTACTTTTCATGGTTATCATGGTCCAAGCCATAAGTGACGTGCGGACATCAGTTGGTCCTCCATCTGTCCCAGAATCTGTATCTACAGAGGACACATAAAGAACCAGGAAGTTACTGTCAATTCTCAGCAAGAGAGATTCACGTGTGTGTTTTATTTCACTTTTAACATGGCACTCCTAGCCAGATAGACAGACAACTTAAACACAACTCACAGAGCTGATGGGTTTCCACTAGTGACTGAGGCTAGCCATCAAATCTGGACAGGGAAGGCTGGTACTCAGCATGTGCTGATGGTAGATAACTTGAGAGACAGTTTCCTGACCCGAATGGTCAGAGCTCAGCACAAATATAGGAAGATGACAATTCTCCTTCTCCACAATGGCACCAGACTCTGAGACCCAAAGTCCATCCACATCATCTACCTAGCAGTTCTCCATCCTCCACCTGAATAACTGTGACAGGGGCTTGCCACCTACAAAGATTCCTGTGCTTTTACAGGGTCTTGTGATACACCCTCAGGTGCCCACATGTAGATCCAGTGTTTCCTTGAGTCCCCAGCTCAGGCTGCTAGATTTTAAAAAAATAACAAAAATAAGGGATTCCAGTTAAGTTTGAATTTCAGATAAACAATAAATAATTTTCCGTATGACTCAAATATTGCACAAGATATATTCATAGAAAACAAACACTTTTATTTTCCTGTGTACAGATACTAGGTGTGCAAGTAGGGTTACCAGAGCTCTGCCATACCCCCCGAAGCCAGATGTCCTGTTTCCAGCAATTCTCCTCCTCCTATCCTTTAATACAGGCAGCACAGCACAAAGCAGAGTTCTAGGCTTAGTCAGAATTCTAGTCCCACCACTTGCTAACTCTGGACTTGGTTCCGTGTCTCATCTCTGACCCTAGGCCTTTGTCCCTCAGGGTGACCATGAAGATGAATTGAGATGATGCAGATCCTTTGGTCTCCAAAGAACCTCAGTGAGCTAGGCTAGGCTAAGCTTGTGACTACTGGAGACTCTGTGGTGCCTCCTTCTAGTTTAATGTATGCCACTCCAGAAAGAAAGGAGAGCCATTTATCCCAGGTGACTACTCAGGTTTCCCTTCTAAAGACAGCAATGTTTATCATGTGCCAAAGGACATTGGGCCCTAGAATCCTGGGTCCACTGAACTTGTCCTCAAGGCTATGACACTGTGACCCCCAGGTCACAGGGGCAGTGCCCTGGCCTTTTTCAACAGAGGGGCCACTGTGGCTAGGGAAGAATAAAGAGAGAGACAAGTCAAGTGAGCTGTATGCAATTCTGAACACAAAAGTGCTGGCGTGGAACACCTTACTCTCCTGGGATACATGCCATAGACAAGTGAACATGGATGAAGGTGCCACCCAGGGCTGGCCCCTCGCTCACACAGATGTGCTTACTTTGTGGAACAGATGACCGGGACTTCTGACCTCTGTCTATTCTGTCACCTGCTCTGATCATTCCTTGTGTGCCTTTTAGTGTTCTGGCCCTGAACATCATTGCTGGGCTTCACCTGGCTTTTGGGAAGTTTTATAGCTTGGGTTATAGTTTGGGTTTTGTTTTTTTTGTTGTTGGTCATGGGGCTTGCCCTCTGGGCCTGGGTGCTGTCTCTCAGCTCTTCAGCTCAACGTTAGAGCTCTACCACTTGAGCCACAGCACCACTTCTGGTTTTCTAGTGGCTTATGGGAGATAAAGCGTCTCACAGCCTCTCCTGCCTGGGCTGGCTTTGAACCGTGATCCTCAGATCTCAACCTCCTGAGTAGCTAGGAATACAGTTTTATAGCTTTATCAAATCATCTCAATGTGAATGAGTCTTGTTGGAGGAATCTTTGATTCTGCTCAGTTAGGTTAGAGTCTCACCTGAGAATCACCTCATCCATGCTCTAAAAGCAGGGTGGATTAGGGCAGGAGTACCATGCCTAGGCTGGCTGGAAAGCTAGAGCTGTGCTGCCCATCAGCTTCCCTACCTGGAGCTGCCCACTGCTTTCACTGGGGCTAAGTGTCTATAGCCCCTCCCCTTGTCAGGAATAGCTCTCTCCGCCCCACTGTTCTCATCTGTAAGGATGAGCCTATGGACCATGCACTTGCAGTGTCAAAGCATCTCCTTAACAATCGCACGACATACAATATCAACTAGGGTGTCCTTATTTTCACCAAAAGCTTAATTTCCAATGTGACTTCTACAACTTCCGCTGAGCTGAGATGTCTAGAGACTCCTTCCCTGCCCAGCCTGCCCACCACAAAGGACAGAGAGGGGTGATCTGCCAGGCTCCCTTCTCAGCTTCTCAGCTCAGTTGCTGCTTCCCCTCTTTGGAAGTGTGTCGTGGATATATGGGGTCATCAATGGGGACTGAGGGTTTGGAAAGGTTCATGTGTACAAAAACTGGGCCCTGAAAGAACCAGTCTCTCAAGAAGAGCATCGGGCCCAAGTCCTTGCCAATGTCTTGTATACAGCCACTCAGGCTAAACTACTGCCTGCAAAGACCTTGTGGCCTGCTTCAGGGCTCCCTAAACACTAGGATTCTGGGAACTGGGGGTGAGTAGGGCCTGTTTCCATACCTCATGGGCAGTAAGGGAAGAGTCAGTTCCCTCTATCTCACTGTCCACTTGGTGCCAACATCACTCTACTACCAGACCTCACTGCACCCAGCCCAGGCTGAGAGCTTTTGCTGTGCTTCATCTGGACAGGAACAAGGCCCCAGACATGGCAAGTCAATATCCAGCATTTGCTGAAGGACTACATGTACTAGGCAACTTGCTAGGAACGTCAGGAGGGCTAAGAAGTTCTTTAGAAGCCAAACTTTTCAAACCTCTCCTGAGGCATTCCCAAACTTTTTAAAATTGAAGCTATAAGGTAGCCTCTAGCTACCATGTTATCTACTTAATGTCCATTAACTGACACGAAGAAACAACCAAATGATAGTAGGTTTTTGGGCTGCTTAAAAATAATATTTTGTAAGTCAATGCATGTGTTTGCATTTGAATAAACAGACAACATAAACCATACTGCTGAAGGAGGGGTGAAGAAATCATGCTGTAGCCAGGTACTGATAGCTCACGCCTGTAATCCTAGCTATTCAGGAGGCTGAGATCTGAGTATCATGGTTTGAAGCCAGCCCAGTCAAGAAAGTCTGTGAGATTCTTCGCTCCAATTAGCCACCAGAAAACAGAAGGGAAACTGTGGCTCAGAGTGGTAGGGTGCTGGTCTTGAGCGAAAAAGCTCAGGGACAACATCCAGGTCCTGAGTTCAAGCCCCACGGCCTCAAAAAAAAAAAAAAAAAAAAAAGAAGAGAAGAAATTATGCTGGAGTCCAAAAATTTTTGAGAATTTAAAATAAAACTCTACCTAAAAGGCATGTGAAATGTACACAGTATCATGATATGTCAATTCATAACAAAAGGAGTTCCAGAATTGAGTGTCTGATCCTACTTGTTAATTTTAAACAATATATATGTATATATACACATATATGCTGTATGTGTGAATGTGTTTATGCACATAGGTAAACACACACATGTAATGCACAGGATAAAATGAAATAAAACACACATACTTGGAAAGCGCAGAATATAGTGAGGTTTTAAACATATACTTGCGTTTTAAACAGGTTTGCAATAAATAAGCAAATTATTTTTCCCATAATAAAAATCAATGCACTTTTTTTTGTTTATGTGCCAGTACTGGAGCTTGAACTCAGGGCCTAGCCACTGTTCCTAAGTTTTTTGTTCAATGCTGGTGCTCTACCACTTAAGCCACACTCCCACTTCTGGCTTTTTGCTGGTTAACTGGAGATAAAAGTCTCATGGACTGTTGCTTACCCTCCCCCACGGTATAGCCCCTGTTTTCACTGTATTTGATGTTGATATAATTTGTGGAGGGGAAGGGAAAAAACACATTGTTTAAATAGGGATACAGGTGGACCCATTGCAACAACGAGATGTACAAGACGTTACGTGGAAAAACAAACTTTACAACTTTGGCAGGAGGGGTGGGGGGGAACACAGGGGATGTGGAAGGGGGGTGGGGGGGAGGGGAGATGGGAAGGGATGGGAAGGGGAAACAAAGGAGGAGGCAACAAAGCTTGATAAGAAATGTACTCATTACCTTGCCCATGTAATTATAACCCCTCTGTAAGGTAGTTTCACAATTAAAAAAAAAAAGTCTCATGGACTTTCCTGCCTGGGCTGGCTTCAAACCACAATCTTCAGATCTTACCCTCCTGAGTAGCCAGAAATACAGGTATAAATCACCAACACCCAGTCATCAATAAACTATTTTAAAATGCTACCTAAATCCATGTTTCACGGTATTTTGATTTGCTCTCTAATGTTTGTCCACCTCACTACTGCCAGTTTTTTTTTTAACCACTTTATATCATGTGGGAATGGAAAGCAAATACTATCTAGTCAGGAGAAACATGGTGAACTGCAAAGTCAACATGTATCCGAGTATGTAGTACCTGTGTCTATCTTTACTAGATTAAAGAGGGTAAATCACAGAGAATAATGTAACAAACACCTGTTTACACAGATACTGCTGTGTACCATAGTGTTGCCATACTTACTTGAGTTTACTTCACTGCAAAGTGTTACACAGCATAGCAGGACCCCTTCTGCCTTGCCTGGCCACAATGGCATTCTTCCCTCATCTGGTGGCTGTAAATGCTTACTCCATCAGAACACAAAACCTGAGACAGAGCAGCAGCAAGCAGTTTCTTCTGTGCCCAGATAAATGTCGGGCCAACTAGAGAGGCAGGAGTTTTCCCAGGCCTTCAAGGAACCACATTACCCATGGTTGCTCTTCAGAGAGACTCACTCTGAAGGTGAGGCCAAGGTGGAGGGAAGCTCAGTATTTAAGCACTTGGCTGCCCCTTTTCCCTATTCTCCTCCAACACAAGATGGTCTACAGTAGATACACATTCAAGAGGAAAAGCTACCAGGTCAAGATAACCCTTAGAAGTTTAGATAAATCAGGGGGAAGAGGGAAGGAGGAATACTGTGAAATACTCAGACAGAATCAACAAGATGATAACCTGGTCCCCTCACATTGGCCCTACTCCACTCAA